CAACCTCAACATGATTTAACATAATTTAATATGACATGATCATACATGTTGACCTTTCTTAAACTTACTGAATTTTGATCGAAGGACTCGACATATGTCGAGGTGTGCGCACCATGCACACGGTTTCGGCTTTAGGCCTATACCTCGACTAAACATGAAACTTCTCCGAACAATATTAAGAGTCCGACATTAATACACTATTTTAAAGTTGTTGAGACATGAATTACACGGACAAACTTGATCATAACAAAAGATGACTTGACACGGTCGGTCAGGGTCCGTAGGCGCGCGCTATGTGCGCTGCCGACGTTTTTAGGCCAATTCATGAACAAATAATCAATTTGTCTCGACCAACCTAAATGTACTGAGTATAAAATGACCTATATTAATCAAATAGACATGAACTACTCGGGTTTATTCGGATAGAATCGAACATCACTCGGTCACGGCTGAATACGGCTTAAACCGAGCACTACTTGGCCTTTCTATGAACTTTTAGAACATGAGCTGAACAATTCGACTGATCATGAACTTATTAACATGAAAAGATGTTGAGGATGTTGTTACCTCTTCAAGCTCTCGAAGAACTTCACAAGACCGAACGCTCTCTCTTGTCTCGTGCGTGCGTGCGTGAAGGATATGCCATGTGCGTGTGTTTAGAGCTAATCTAGTTATATATATATTAATCTTGCTTAGTGTATGCATAAGGATATTCTGGACTTTCCACCCAATATTCAGATTTATAGCTAAAGAATTGATGGTAAATTGGGTTGAAATTTGAAGTAAAAACCGTGGCCAATCACTAAGCACCACTTGCCGTGCAACTAGGCCTTAAAATGGCCCTTCTTTGCTTATTCATCAAGTTGTTAGCTTAGTCATAAATCAAATGATCTCCTATGCCTCCATGTGTCCCAAACTTGTTAGCTTAGTCATAAATCAAATGATCTCCTATGCCTCCATGTGTCCCAAACCATCATGATTTTTCACGTGAAATGAGTGAAGAGAACCGTAACTCTCGGTCATAGGCAACTTAGGCTTAATGTGCGCTAAGCATGCTTACCGTGCTAATGACGTGCGGTAACTTAGCTTTGCACATGATCATGGACAATTAGGTCACTAGCAAGCATTATTAATACGTGATCAATGAACGTAAGCTCGGTAAAATTAATTATCGAGCGATTGAACATATTTTAATTATCGAAAAATTATTCCGAACATGAACGTGATATTTGAAAATTAATTCGAACATTCCTTGACTTGATTAAATAATTCCGAACAATAATGCTGAATTAAATATTTCGGAACGAAACATGATATTACATTAATAAACATGACGGGATATTACAATCTGCCCCCCCCCCCCTTAAAATATTTCCGTCCTCGAAAATACAAAATGGGACATATATATACATGAAACATGAAAGAACATATACATCAGAACTGAAAATCAGGAAAACGAGCACGTATATCAGCCTCTTGCTCCCAAGTGGCTCCGTGGCGATCCCACTGAATACGAACGAGGGGAACATCACGCTTTCGGAGCCGTCGAACCTATCGGTCCAATACTGCTACCGGTCGCTCCTCGTAAGATAAGTCTGGATGGATCTGAATATCAGTATGAGGAATAACATGATCGGGGTCGCACACGTACTTGCGTAACATGGATACATGAAAAACATTATGAACACCGGATAACTCGGGAGGTAAGGCTAATCGATACGCAACATCGCCCACTCGCTCGAGCACTTCGAACGGGCCAATGAATCGAGGGTGCAGCTTCCCTCTCTTCCCGAATCGAATAACTCCGCGAAATGGACCAACTCTGAGAAAAGCTCGCTCGCCAACCTCGAACTGAATGTCTCGTCGATGATGATCGGCTGTTGATTTCATTCTACTCTGGGCTGTCTTAAGTCTCTGCCGAATCAACTCGACCTTCTCTGCTGTCTCCTCGATCAATTTCGGACCGAGTACTCGACGTTCACCAACGTCGTCCCAATAAAGAGGAGAACGACACTTACGACCGTAAAGTGCCTCGTAAGGAGCCATCTTAATAGAAGAATGATAACTGTTGTTGTACGCGAACTCAACGTACGACAATAACGACTCCCACTTAGCACCCCTGTCAACAACCAAAGCCCGTAACATATCCTCTAACGTCTGAATGGTCCTCGTCTGACCGTCAGTCTCTGGATGATAGGCTGAACTGAATGCTAACTTCGTGCCCAACGCCTTGTGTAAACTCTGCCAGAATCTGCTAGTGAATCTGGGATCTCTGTCTGACACGACAGTAACATGCACTCCGTGGAGTCCAACTATTCCACGGGTATAAATTTCAGCCAACTTGTCCAAAGACATGTTCATCGACACTGGCAAGAAATGGGCAACCTTAGTCAATCTGTCGACCACAACCCAAATAGCGTCGTGATGTTCAGACGACCTCGGTAACTCCGTGACAAAATCCATCGCAACCTCCTCCCACTTCCACTTCGGAATCGGCAGTGGTCGCAGAAGGCCTCTGGGACTCTGATTCTCGGCTTTGACTTGCTGACAGGTTAAACACTTCCTTACAAAGTCGGCTACGTCTTTCTTCAACCCTCGTCACCAAAACGACCCTTTCAGGTCATGATACATCTTAGTGCTTCCTGGATGGGCTAGATATGGTGCGGTATGAACCTCAGTCAGAATCTCCTTCCTCAATGCTTCGCTTTTGGCACCACAATCCTGCCACAAAATTCCAAGGCCCCATCAGTGCCTCGGTGAAAACCATCGACGCCTCCGGCCCGAACTTTGGCATCAATCGCACGAATAAACTCATCTGAAGCCTGCTCTTGCGGATTCTCTCCCTCAGCGTCGGCTGAACCTGCATAGAACTAACACTCCCCGTAGTGGCTGTAGGAAGTGCATCAACCGTCTGAATCTGCATCCGGGTGAACTCCTGAATCAACTGACTCTGCTGAGTAACAACGTACGTCAAGTCACCCTTCACCTTGCGGCTTAGGGCATCAGCAACAACATTCGCCTTTCCCGAATGGTACTGGATCGTACAATCATAATCCTTGACGAGCTCTAACCAACGGCGCTGTCTCATGTTGAGCTCCTTCTGAGTAAAAATATACTGCAAGCTCTTATGATCGGTGAAAATCTCGCATCGACCGCCGTATAAATAATGTCGCCAAATCTTAAGGGCACGAAAAACAGCGGCAAGCTCTAAGTCATGCTTCGGGTAGTTCTGTTCATGGGGTTTGAGCTGGCGTGAAGCATAAGCAACGACCTAGCCATCTTGCATGAGTACACATCCCAAACCCTATCTTGAAGCATCACTGAAAATGGTGAAACTCCGAGAAGGATCGGGAATAGTCAACACCGGTGCTGAAGTCAGCCTTCTCTTGAGCTCCTCAAAGCACGCCTCACATCGATCAGTCCATTCGGACTTTACAGACTTCCTCGTCAGCTGGGATAAAGGAAGCAATCTTGGAAAAGCCCTCAATGAATCTGCGGTAATAACCAGCCAAACCGAGAAAACTGCAAACCTCGGACGGACTCTTCGGTGTCGACCAGTTCTGAACGGCTGCAACTTTGGATGGATCAACCTCAATACCTGCCTGCGTAATCACATGACCAAGACTACTCGCTGGAGCCAGAATTCGCACTTGGAGAATTTCGCATACAACTTTTCTCGTCTAAGGGTTTCAAGAACAACCCTCAGATGCTCTTTGTGTTCCTTCTGGCTCTTTGAGTAGATAAGAATATCATCAATGAAAACGATAACGAACTGATCAAGATAGGGATGAAAGATACGGTTCATGAGGTCCATGAATATAGCGGGTGCATTGCTGAGTCTAAATGGCATGACCACGAACTCATAATGGCCGTAACGAGTACGGAAAGCAGTCTTGGGAATGTCTGACTCCTTGATTTTCAGCTGATGGTAGCCTGATCGCAAGTCAATCTTAGAGAAAACATAAGCTCCTCTCAGCTGATCAAATAAATCGTCAATCCTGGGAAGCGGGTATTTATTCTTGATTGTCAACCGGTTATGATCCCGGTAGTCGATACACATGCGCATGGATCCGTCCTTCTTCTTGACTAAGAGAACGGGTGCTCCCCATGGTGACACGCTCGGCCGAATGAAACCGAGTCGTAATAACTCCTAGATTTGCGCCTTAAGCTCCTGAAATTCTTTCGGCGCCATACGATAGGGTGCTTTAGAAACTGGACCGGCTCCTGGAATAAGATCAATGGAGAACTCTACCTGCCGGTTAGGTGGCCCTCCTGGAAGCTCATCCGGAAACACGTCCACAAAGTCACGAACAATAGGAACGTCGTGAGGTGTTCGTGCTTTCGGAGAATCATCAACAAGACTGACGAGATAACCCTGACAGTTGCCTCGTCGCAACATCTTCATGGCTTTCGCCATAAAAATAAAATGTGGCAATGAACGAGTCTTAGTACTGAAGAAAGTAATCTAATCATCTCCCGGAAGAGAAAGGATAATTTCCCGGTCATGACATCGGATATCTGCATGAAAACGTGTTAGCCAATCCATGCCGAGTATGAGGTCAAAATCCCTCATCTCGAGAACATAAGCATCGGTAGACAATATACGACCACCGATAGAAAGACTGAGATCTGTGG